ACAAACAAATATTAAAAACTTGATTTTTTTTCAAAGATACATTGTAAAATTTCTATTAAAATTGTAAGCAAAACGAATATTGACAAATAAAAAAGTTTTCAAAGTCATTTGAAAAATTATGTGTACTAAATCGTCATCATGTCACTTATTTATTTGAGGAGTGGTATGCGTATGCAATGAACACAATAACCACACCCACACCCATACCCACATCGACCCTTCTTTAAAATAGAAACGCACAAATAGACTGGATAAAAGGAAAACAAATAAAAAGATAGATCACAATATATATGCTTGTTTATATACTTTCTCTCACAAAAGTTCCTTTGTTCATTATTTATAATACTAAATTTTCTTTTAAAAATGAAATATTTTTACCTGTATGAATATGTCAACAAAATCTCTCCGAGCTCACATTGAACAAAAAAAGAGAAGTAATTCGTCAGCTCAAAGAAGGAACTTTAACCACAACAAAAGAGCCACCAACTAGTTGTTCCGGTGAATTTTGGTCAAGTTTATTAAGAATAAAAAATTCGGATAACGTTTATGAGCCATTTGTTCAATGTACTGTTTGTACTCAATTATTATTTGAAAATAAAATGAAAAAAAATTATTTATCATACGTACTCATACTTTGATTAAAAAATTTCAATTAGTAGGGTAGGGTAAGGTAGGGTAATGATTTAAGTACCATAGGGTAGGGTTAGGGTAAGACAAATTTTAATAGGGTAGGGTTAGAGTATGAAAAATGCTTATCCTGCACATCTCTAACCCACACCCTAGCTAAGTTTTTGTTCACTCTTTTGCTTTTTCAATTTTCAAAAAGTTTCAATGTCATTCGATAAGTCAATTTTAATCATGTCAATATTAACTTCTTGTGTCATTGAATAGAAATTGTAATGCCATTATGGTTTACTGAAAATTGACGAAACGTCTTAGATCGTCGGCACTGACTGTCACGATGGTATTCTGTAACTCCTGGGCGGTCATTTCCTGTTTCATAATTTCGTCTCCTTTCTGCTTGTTATTGGTAAATACTAGGCATTGATTCTGAAACCCAAGTTGTCGTAATTTTTTGATGAGACGTGCTCCTGCATTATGTACAGGTCGTTCATTTTCACGATTCATATCGGTAACAATACGAAATGTATTTTTATTTTTCAGTCGCTGTCCAAATGGTGATTTTAGGAATGAAATTGCATATTCAGTAGTCGATTTTGGAATAAAGTGCACATTCATATTTAGTGCCTTTGCAGCTGCATATTCCATATGAGCCTTATTCTCCCAATTTTCAACGAATATACGATTGTCAACCCAAAGCACTGACCATGTTGATAGACCCAATTCAACTTGTCGCATATAGATCGTATGTTGCTCTCCATGATGACTAGTCACATGTTTGAAGACAAGAAATGTTGAATGAGGTAAGAATAATACTTCATCTTCATGATCATAGTTGGAAAAGAATTGAATACGACGACCTGTTAGGGAATACATTTTGAATTGAGTATTGCGGTTTTCAAAACCACCGGTTGCAACTTCTTTGCCTCGTTTTGAACTACTAAATTGAAGCCATGTAATCAAATCACCGGGTGTGTAAAGTGCTAGCTCATGATCTTTGAGTTGACAAGCCCGCGTAACATAGCCCCAATAATAAGGAATATTCTAAAGGCCTTTAACTAAATAATATAAAATAATCGATGCTTCTTTCATTTCATCTACGGTTCTCTGCTCGACAGCTACGCCATTGGCACGACGAGCAACAAGACTGGCGCCTCGACTGCATGCTTCACTTCTCGAGCCAGTATAAAATGCGATAGCGAATGCTGAGGCGCGAGCTTCGTCTTCTGATAAACCCCTTTCAAGAAAATATTTGTATGTTCCATCAGCGCGATCTGTGAGCTCTTCCATCACGGTATCGACATTTATTTCTGACTCTGCTTCATATTTCCGGCATATTGTTTCCAGTTTTGCAAAAGATGCACTATTTTCCATCTTTTCACATAGAGTCAGATTGAAATGATCTTCATAAACGAAATGTTCTTTACGTGCGTCGTTCAATTCTTCGGTGCTATGTTTCAATGTAATATTTTCCAGAATCGTTTCGACCTCTTCGCATTCCATAATTCCGATACTTGCAGCAGCCGCTCCTTTTCCTTCTGAGATGGGCTCTTCACGTGCTTTGATCATATCCTCTAGTATTTTCAATTTATTATTACCCTCCAGATAACCAACTACTATCATATAACAATCATGTGATAAACGATGGGTCGTGTCGGTTGCAGACGGATTGAAGTTTGACAAATCTGTTATAATCTCTGATACAGATCGTGGCATTTTGTTGTAGTTTGTCTGAAAAGATGATATTTTTATATGACGCATTAGATATCGTTATAGTCTCTATAAACAATAGATCTCCCGAGGATGAGCCTGCGTTAGGGTGAGTGGGTGTGCGTATGAGTGTGAATAATAAACAAACAAACGCACACCCACATTTACCCTCAAGAAGTTTTTAAATAATTCTGTCACTTATGACAAACATGGTCTTAACTATAATCTAGCAGAAACGATAAGAACATCGATCTCGACTAGCCAGATATAATATTTGACCGGTCAGGTCTGAGCGGACCGGTCGAACTGTCGTTTTCGACCCTCTGAGGGCAATCGTAACGAAAGATGTGACGAGCGTGGTAAGAATGGAAGTGAAGAGAATATTCTCACTCTCAAGATAACTCATTCGAAAACGTGAACGTTTTGCGCAATAAACATGGGTAGGGGTTTCATGGACTCTTTTTTAATATATATGTTACCCGTATCAGCACTCAATGTGATGCATCACAGTTTTATTGTCAATCAAAAATAGGTTCATCGTTTAACAAAGTTCCAAATAGCGTAAACCATTAAGTAGTATATATTTATATAGAAGCCTTCTACTAAACAGCAGATTTTTCATATCATCGAAGGAAGTCCTTCACAATATTGAAAGAGCAAAATACAAAGATTCGTGTTGTACAGTCACTGTCTTGATTAAAAAATCAACACTTACTTGTTATGTTGATGAGACGTTCGATCGAATGCAGAGTATGTCGTTGTATTCGACACTTTTATACGAAGAAATGTTTTTTTCGTTCTTACTCAAGGTTTTTATTGCATTGACAACATTCCGCGATTATTATATTTGTTGTTTTGATGTGTGTTGACGCCATAACAACAGCAAAAGCTTGTGCACATTGCAGTAAGATGTGGTTTACTTGATGTGTTGCTCGTTACAAAGCAAACATAATATTATTGTGAATTTTTCGCGGAATAAGAGTAACAGACATGTACGCTGTTTTTCGTTTGCCTTTTTTGCCAAAAATCAGTGTCTTATAGTCGAGCCAGTATTATCTTAACATACACTTTCTACAGCTTGAGAAGAATAGCTAGGAAGTGAACTTCGTTTAGTCGTTGTCAGTAATAGCAGCAGAGTGACGTTTAGGGGTGTGGGTGTGTTGATATGATTGATTATACAAGGGAAATATTCAAACTCACACCCTCACCCTAAAAAACACGAGCTTTACGATATCTAAAGAAGTCTTTTTCGGTGAACCTACAGGAAGAACTCTTTTATGTTACATATCAAAACCTATAACAGTTTCGTAAAAATACTCGCAACAGCCTCAGTGCAGTATGGATTCCTTAGGGACTTTGCGTTCTTGCTACAGAATCTTTTTAACGTTTGGTAAGCAACTTTAAAAGATCCTTCTTTTTTCTCGCAGAAATTTATGCCAAGAGCTTATTATCTGACATTCAAATACTCATCATCTAGGTGTTAATTTTTGTTGATGAATCTGAATTTTTTTCTTATTTAGTGGCAGCGCAAGATATGTATCGACGAATCTTTGTCATCGATTCTACTGATTATGTAGGATCAAAAATTATAAAGCAACTCACAAATCCAAATAGTCATGAACAACATCTAGCAAACAATACACAATATGATTTTATAGAATTCAATCCATGCAAATACAATGACTGCCTTTATTTATTTGCTTACACCGCTATATTTAATAAAGTGAATAACGATCCAAACAGTGAATACCGACAACAACTGATTCAGAAGCGATTGAATGAATATGGTACTGATGGAATTTATTTAATTTTATTCATCACAAATAATAATACTGCACATGAGACAGTCTATTCTAACATTTGTTTCATAGTTTCTACTGTCTACAACCGAAAAGTGCCTGTGCTTTGCGTTGTAAACGGCTGCGAAAATAACACAACATCTCAGTATTTTCAGATGAATTTTAAAATAGTGTTTGATATGAAATATGAACATGAACAGGAACGTTTGAAATCGATTGAACATTTGTGGAAGGAAATTGATAAGCAATCGTTAACGTCGAGTGAAGTACAAGAGTATGCCAATCATCTGAGCAAAAAGCATGATACAAATGCAAACGAGAAATCAAAATTGAAGGCAGGTAAGAGCGAAGACAATACACAATATATTTTTTTCAAGAAAAAGGTTAAATATTTATTTGATAAATGTATCGAAGTGCCCAAAAGTTTGCTAACAAAAAATGGTAGTAGCTGGTGAGACAGAATAAATGAACCTTGCCAATAAATGATAGAAAATCGTCTAGACACCATTGCTGTGTTAAATGATGCGAGTGAAATTTCGCGCCATTCTGTTGAAAGACCTAGTCACTACCGAAAACTTAATTCCCATATTTCAATGCAACGGGAAACACTTTTTCGATATAGACAGAATGTCGATCGTTCCTTCACCTAAGATTACCAAAGGCATGACACCCTTGGAACAGTCAGCCAGCTAAACTATTATTGAGGGTATGGGTGCTGAAGATAATTATATTACTTATACCCACACTTTAGAATTGATCCGTAGTTCATTATGCTATTAATAGCATTACACTTTGGAAGATTTTCATTTAACTAGTTTTGTTTTGTATTACTAAGCCAACGAAGCATATACGCAATCAATCGTTTCCATACATTCAAACAAAGAAATAGACTCACGACACGACGACTTCGCAAACGAATGGAAAGATAACATTGTCCCAGGTTTTTTCAATGAGAAAAATACAAAAATTGAAAATCTGATGAAACGATGTGATGAATATCAAGCATGGACTTATCCATACAAGTGTGATTCAAAAGAATTCGAAAAATATATTCTATTATTTTTTTGACTCATTCTAGTTGTGTATTATTGACAACTGGTTCGATGAATCCTATCCATCGTTCTCATATCAACAATTTAGAACTAGTGAAGAACTATCTTGAACAAAGCAGTCCACGATGGAATGTACTTGCAGGTTATCTTTCTCCTACGCAGTAAGTTTTGATTCCTTAATTTTATCAGCATCCATTTCATTGTCACTAATGTTCAGTGATGCATACGTACGTGGTAAATTAGGCAAGGCAACGATACCAGGTCGTGATCGATGTGATCTTTGTGAACTGGCGATAGAAGAACATGAGCGCCAAACGGAAACATTACATTGGCTTAGTGTGTCTCGAGCTGAGGTTGAATATCATAGCGGTTTTGTCGATTTTGGCCCAACGACGGAGGCACTTCGCCAATATCTTAATTCAGTTCTTTTGGCTTCTATCCGATTTCTCGAGAATCCAGTATATGTGATTTATGTTTGCGGTCTGGACCATTTCAACAAATGTTCCGATGTTAGACGCTTGGCCAGAGAAAAATATGTGAAGTGCGCAGTTATCTATCGTAAAGAATGCGACGAACAGAATATCTCTAAACTTGATGAATCATCCAACATCATTTATGTTCCGTTGGATGATGACCGTAAAAATCTCATCGATATAAGTTCGACTGAAATTCGACGTCGTTGGGAAAAGTCGCCACATGATATCAGCCAGTTTACGTACGCTTCTGTGGTTGATCGTTTAAAGTCAATGAACTTTCACTTCGACTGACCATCCGACAATATATTTTCACTATGACAGTACTGCGTGTGAAATTGTTTTCGAATGTCAATTAAAAAACGGCTTGATCCATCATTTCTCACGCAGACAAGAAAAATTCAATCTGCTAGTCTTGACGTTTGCTTTTTAGGAATAGATTTCAGTTGAAGAGTATGAGTGGAGTGGAGTGGAGTGGAATGTAGTGCTCTCCTACAATCCTAAGCAAAGATTAAATGGTAATTTCTAGTATAACTGCACTATAGCTGCCCAAATCGCAGAAGAAGTGTGGGTGTGGGTGTGAAGGTGTTGGTGTCTGATAAACATAATAGTTACATACACCCACACTCTCAAGATGCTTGAGAATATGTCACTTCATAAATATTCAAGATAAGATATTATTTTTTCTGACTAATATTTACCATTAGATTATTTTCAAAGGTGACGTGGGCATGCGCATGTTAATAAAACTTGGGTAAAAATATGAATCATACTTATGCATAATTTTTTTCCAATTCTTTCACTGAGAAAAACACCTACTCTGCAGTTACGCAACGTGTCACGATGATGTCATTTGAATGATTAATTATTTCCAACGTTTTCGTCTATATATACGAAAAAAAATCATGCAACAGACATTATATCTTTGCATTTAGTTGAATTAATATAAAGTGATTAGTCAATAATGGAGAATTACACAATTGTTTGGCTTGATACGAATGCGTCAGATCCTGAAAGTAGTTTTCGTACTAAACTTGGTAAAGCTCAGATATTTACTGATGTTGATGATTGTATTAAATTTATAAAATCTCATTCAAACAAATCGACTTATCTTATTGTCTCGGGTTCTCTTGCCAAACTAGTCGTGCCAGAAGTGTATGATTGTTCAAATCTTCTAGGAATTTTTCTTTTCTGTGGATCAGTTGCGACGTATGCAGAATGGGCAATGGATTATTGTGATAAATTAATGATATTCGATCATGGTGACGATCTTCTAGTACGATTGTGGAGGGACCTAGAAAGCAATTTACGTGAGCAAGCAACACTACATTTAAGATACGCCGAAGAGTATAAACAACGAGCTCTGCAGTATAAACAACGGCCATGTGGCTAAA